TTAACACTTGTAACGAACGTAAGAGTAGGACTCAACACTTAGAAAATCTCTTCCTTAGAAGATGTTTTCATCTTCATAGCTTAAGAAAAGAAAAATTACAAAGTGTAAAAATGTCCTTGCTGGGGAATCTTTGACAGAAATAGTTCTGAAGGGATCTTTCAGTGGGGACATTTTGTGACAACAAGGGTTTGCTGCCTCATGGACATTGAGGGTGACTGCTAGCTGAAAATGGAGAGCATCACTCTGTCCAATCTCAGTGGTAACTTAACCTGAGAGTGTACTTTGAAATACTGGAAACTGGTGACTGCATCACCTTTATTCTGTTTAGAATTATCCTTGTTGAAATGCCTAAAGTTATTATTGGTTTCCTACTAGGCAAGCTGGATGCTGATTCACTACTTAATAAGAAAGTTCCCTGAATTTCATTTAGTCAGAATGGCATAAAGCCAAGGGGAGCCCTTCTTTCATGTAGAGACTTTGATTCAGCTTTATTTTTCTAAATCACACTCCTTCCCATTCCTAGCCCATAGATACCACCTATTCATCCTGAAATAAGAAAATGAAAGAATTTGGGTAACTTACACAAAATCTCTGCTCAATCCATCCTTTTAAAGTTACAAAACTGGTGTTTTTTTCTCAGAGTCTGGTTTTTACTTCCAACATGCTGTCAGAGCTTGTGATGTTATAGCAATCTTATGACAGTGGGGTCCTTCTTAACATCACCCACTGTGATCAAAGCCTTCTGTAAAGCATGTAGGTGCCTGGTGAACCGGTTTGGTGAATATGCAACTAACAGGTGTCATGGTCTGGTAAGACTAGAAACTGTGAGGTCCCATACAACCTGCCTATAATTGGATGTCTGACATATATCTAAGTCTAACCCTAATCTACCACCCTTAAAGTTGGTGATTGTTGGACAAGTTGTTTAACCTCTCTGAGCTTCAGAGACATTATCTATAAAATGGGAAAACATGTTAGTTTTCAGAATAAGTCTGAGGAGTAAATGAAATGAAAGTATAAATGGTTAAGAATGCAGGTTGCAGACTGAATTATGCAAGGTCCATTACTTGACATTGTATGATCTTATGCAAGTTAGTTAGCCTTTGTGCCTCAGAATCCCATCTGTATCCATAAAATCAGGATAGCAATGGTATGTTATAAGAAGCACTGTCAAAACTGATGATCTATAAAGATATCCAGCACAACTCAAAGTTGGAAGTTTTGTTCAGTTACTATTAGCTATCATAATTTTCACAAAACATTTCACACACTTCCTGATATGTAGTAGGGGCTTAATACCTGAACTCTTCTCTCCTACCTCCTGCCTTTCCCATGGGCCCCAGGTGACTGTCTAAATGGCTGCCACAGTTGCCTTCCTCATCCAGCCTCCTGATGTGAACCAAAATGCTTCATTCAAGGTTGTTTGGGGACTTTGAAAGCTTTTTATTTCCCCAATTAAAAGTATCAGAGATTAACTGACTTCTAAAATGTATGGTTAAGATAAAAACAAAACACAGTGCCTTCTGTTATTTACTTTCAAAAACATTTTTCTATTTATTTCTATAATGTGCATTTTTCAACTCAAGGCCAATAACAATTCTTTGATTTTAACATGTTTTCCATGAACAAACCAGTACTAGTTCTTAGGAGCTGTGAAAGCAGGCACTCCACACAGTTCTCTGAACATCATTATATTTCCCACTATCAGGTAGAGGAAGGCGGGCAGTTGGAAAGCAGGTCCCTTGCATAGTTTGATTAGGAGCCCTAGACTTACATTTGAGCAGTCATAAAGCACACCCAATGTAGATAAACATGTCAAAAATGGTGTAACATAAATATGAGGAGATTTAAATGAAAAATTTTAAAGTTACATATATTCATAACCAAACAATGCTTAAACTATAGGACCCTATGGAAACCTAATTTCCTGTCCTCACACTTGAAGTGTACTTTATTAGCTTTATTTGAGAAAATCAGGAGTCTGAGAAATGTCTAACAGGATTTGATTTTGTGTGTGTTTGTGGTACTAGGAATTGAACCCAGGGCATGTGCTAGGTAAGTGTTCTACCACTGAGCTACATTCCCAGCCCTAGATTTGATTTTTAATTAAATTTCTTTTCATTTAATTGCTTCTGAGTAGTTTTGTGATTTTTGGATTACTAAGTGTAAAGATCTGCATACCATAGAAACATAAGTTTTTAAAAACTTAAGAAACTGAGTTTTCCTGATAATGTCAAGGACATGATAGTTCTGATTGTAGAGGAGGATGGAATGTCACTGGCCGGTGCTCACAGGATGACTAATTTTCATTCTTTTGTTAGCACTGAAGAAGGATAAGCAGAGACTGGCCCCTATAGCACTTTGCCTTGTGTTTGGACCCTATGGGAATTCACTAGCCTGATTTATGTCCCCTACGCCAACCCGGGGAGGACATCTAGAGAATTCAATTCTGTTTTCCCACAAGACTTGTTGACTCAGTCAGTAGCTCTGAAGTGTTACCCAACTCTTTGCATCCCCCAGAGTCCATGATATGGGGACACTAGACCAGTGAGGGTCAGTGTTTCTGGGATGTAATGTTGGTTGTTGGAATTTACATACTTTTCTCATGAACTTATAAAAAATTTTAAAAACAAGCTCAACAACCCTGCTTTTTTGGAGATAATGAACATGCACTCCACACTTCTCTCTGGAAGCATTTAAAGCATTTAGCCTTTCAGAAAACAGTCACATCTGATGACCATGATTTCAAATACTTTAACTGCCTAGCTGATGGTGACTCATGAACAACACCACTGGTCTTCAGGACCTATGAATGTGAATGCTTGAAGTTTCTTTAATATGTAACTGTTTGAAATGATATACAGCAAGATTTTGTCTGGCACCAACAGCCATGTGTGTTCTGCTTTTCAGTGACTTTACTGAAAGAGCCACATGGTCAGTGCCTGACAGTGGCTAAATGATTCTCAGTGTTCTTTAGCTTAGTAATGGCAAACAGGAAACTGGTCTCACATAAGTTAGTGCACCATCTTTAAGTATGAATCACTTGTTTTTGACATTTCAGTTGTGACTCTTGATGCTAGAATGTAAGCTGTGTGATAATACTCAGCTTTCCTACAATGAAAGAAGTCAGCACTGCCCAGAATAGTTAAATAATCCCAGTTTATGCAAAGAAACTACTTGTAACTTGGATAGGTTTTCCTGTGGTTAAAATGATTCTTGTGAAGATTAAATGAGATAGCTAATACAAAATGAGATATTTGCTACATGTTATCATTAGTAATTATACTAGGTACATTTTGAAGCATAGTTTTACAAAGTTCACTCAAATATGTCTTATAAAATATAGCCCTAAAGTATATGTTTTACATTATCAGTGATAGTCTAAATGCAGAAACTGTGTCTTTTCCTCTCTCAAAACATAATGTGTCAATTATTGAATATTATAAATAAAATAGTAAATGTTCTAAGATTAAGGTGACAATGTTCAGATTTCCTCTCTCACCGGCTCTTTGATTCAATTTGTTCTCACCTAAGACTGAGGGAAAAATGCTATACTTATATTTGCTTAAAGCCCTTCAATAATTTGGTGACTGTGATTACCTTTGGTTTATAGTCTGGTGCCCACATAAACCATGCAGGGATCCTTGAGATGCTATACTAAAAGCACCTAACATTACATAGTCACTCAGCAAATGATTATTGCTATTCAGATGACAATGCAAACTGACTCATGGGTGCTCTACTCAGAAATCAGGCTAACAAAGAACAAGGAAAGAAGAAAGGTGCTAAAAACTGAACACACTACCTCCCCAGGCCCACAACCAGACAACCAACCAATCCAACAACCTCCACACAACAAAACCAAGACTCAAATTGCAACATGGGTCCAATGGGAGAGAGGCTCCTGTTTCTACTTCTAACCCTCCCGCCTGCCACAGTGACATCACTTCCATACCTCTACCTGAAAGGTGGCACATGCAGCCCCCTGGAGGGGAGAAGAAGAAAAGGAAATCCTCTTTCTCCAGGGATTTGGCTTAGTCCTTCTCCCTCCTGTTTCTGGTATCCCACAGAGAGAGGTCAGACTCTGCTGTGGACATTGATTCAGAAAATTTCTATCTTTCCTCTATAAAGTGGGACTGTATTGTTCAGGATGAGACCTCCATTACCAGTCCCTGGTTGAAACGGTGACTGCATGCCTGACATTTCTCTTAGAAGCATTTGGGAATCCCAAATAGTCCACAGATGATGAGAAGACATAGTCATATTAGTTGTGCTTTTACTCATCAACTCCAAATAGTGGCTCTGCTAAGATTGCCACCTGTCTAACAGGAAATGGACTGAAAACACTTCTCATTCCTACATGCCTCAAACGATTGGATAACTGGAAATTCTTCTGGGTCATGACCACTCTAGGATGCTTTTGAACCAGTGATCTCAAATTGACTACCTATGTGTTCCATGTCTTTCCTCTAACTTATGCCATTCTTTAAATGCTCTGTTAAGAATGCAGAGTTACAAAACCATCTCCTTTTCTGCTTCATCTTACGAAGACTATTTAGATTATTCTGTTAGAAACAATGCAAAACACACAGCACTCAACACACTTCCTTTGTGGGGAACAAGTCATACAAATAATTGTGTTATGTAAAATAGGTTGTGTTTTCTTTTATCTTGCATTAATTTTCCAAATTGATTTCCCAAAAAGAAAAATAAGGGACCAAATTATATCCTGTGGTTGTATTGCCACCAGATGCAATGGGAGAATTTAAAGAGAAAAAGCAAGAGAATCAGCCCCATTGGTTTGTAGCTGACTTAATTCTCTTCTTTGTGTGTTATCTTTCAGGAATACCTAAAGATTACAGATTTACAATGTATGAAGAAATGGATGCTCATAAAAAAGAAATTGAGAAGTTATGAGAGAAATACCAGAGAAATGACTTAGGTCAGAATAGTTCATTCAAGGAAGATTTCTAGAAAAAAATTTGTACAATGAACAGATAAAGAAGAAAGTAACATTTTAATAGGATAGTGAAAAACACAGCAGATTGACAGTGAGAGCAGAAAAAGAACAGGAATACAGATATTTCCAGAGGATTAAAATGGCACTGTGTACCCTCTAACCAGGAAAGTTTTATAGGAGGTCTCTAAACATGTCTCCTGCATGGAGTAGGTGGTTTTCCTTGGAGCTGTCATAAATGAGTTGGAGTTGTCTACATTAATTCATGCTGAATATTTTCCATGGTTGGTCACACTCAGCTTAAAATAGACATGAGAAAGGTCTTCAGGTTTACTTTCAGTAACATTATTAACTTCATAGCCAGCTGAATGACGACATGGTGTATGACCAATCCAAATTTACAAGGTAACCTTGCCTTAATTATCCTGGTCCATCAAATAGAAATAATAAAGTGAAGGTGCAAGAATAGAATTATAAGGACAGTGGGAGAAGCAGTTATCAAACAGCAAAGCACACATAGGAAGAAAATCTGTGAGGTCACTCAGACATGATGTTAATAACTGTGTTCTCACCCTACAGTCTCCACACACATGGGGTTCTTTGTGCTTCACCATTAGCTCCTTGTACTCGGTACCCTTTGGGTCCCAATCATGTGATTTCCCAGGGTAAAACAATAAACATGTGTGCCTTCATCATGCATCCTCCTTTTTATGTTACTCATTACACTGCACTTTACCGCTTACTCAGATGAGGAAAACCAATGTACACTTCTATGGGCAATTGGAGATGTACTCAGCTCCTTAAGTAACTGGGAAGGGAGGATGGGAACCCATCTTTAATGGGTAATTATCTAACCCATCTCTAATGAGTAATTATCTAAGTATAATCCTATTTACTTTAAATAAGCCTTCTGAAATGAGTCTACATGTAAGAATATCTGGCAAAGAAAGTAATACATAATGAGTGCTCAGTAATTATTAAGATCATCTTTCTTACCTACCTCTTCCTAAATTATGTACATTCCAGCAATTCTCAGAGTACCTTCTCTGTGATATCAAACAGGTGCCTGAGGTGGACAGATCTGTCCTCAACAGAGCTCTTATTCCTTTAACACTAGTAATAAAAATAATGCACGACTTTACAAGGAAAATCTCTGTCAATGCATGTTATATTTTCACTACATTTAAACCACTTTTTCACCATGGGAGCACAGCTGTCAGGTTACATAAAGGCTGTGCTCTACTATTTGATAACACTGATCACTATCATTCTTGGGGCTAAAGCATAAGTCCTAAGCATTCTGCTTACCTAATGTAATAGTATATATCTGTTTTGGGATGTTCCTAGATTTTATAAGTATGCAAAAAAGATAAATACATTTTAAGTCAATCTGAGTTGGATTTTTGACTCATTAAAAAGATTATGCTCCTTGGACCCAGATTGGGAAGTGACATACTGAAATTAGTTTGCGAATTTGCTAGGCATTCTTGGGGACTCAAGTAACACTGCAAACAATTCATTTCAAGCAAAGTGGACACTCAGCTTCAGCTACAAGATTACTCTTCCACAACAGATGGTTTCCACACCTGAACAGTGACACCACTTTTCTTGGCTGAAAACTTTGGCCTTGGTGCCACAAAATAAGATGATGAGGCTGATTCTTGCTTTGGAGAGGTGGGAATGCCCACAGGCACTGGGGATGCACTGACTGGTGAGGTGGCCTCTGCAAAGAAGGAAGGCTGTGAGGTATAGGCTGGTACCGAGTACACTGATGAAGCCTGTACATTTGTGGGTGAGCCAACATTCACTGGCCGGGGAGGAAGAGCTTGCTTCATTGCTGGAGTTGAATTGACCTTGACTGGTGACTTTTGAGGAAGGCCATCTTTTGCATCTGGAGGTTGGAAAGTAAACAAAGATGCATTGAGCTGATATGGTTGGTGCTTCATGACATCCAGAGCATTGAGGGGTTTCTTGCCCTTTTTCTTGCTCATTTTGGAGGACTGTGGGCCTGATGGTTGAGACTTGATGGCAGCCAGTGGGTAGGAGGGGGAGTGGATAGGATTGTAGGCCACAGGAGGGGGTGCTCGGACGTTGGAGGAGTACTTCCAACTGGCTGGTAGGGATGGAGTGGGAGACTGAGCCCGGGCAGCATGGGCCTGTACTGTGTCAGAATCCACCACATACTTCTCCATTCTTGACTGCCGTTTAGCAAAGAGCTGAGCTCCTTTCCCACTCATTCCAGGCAGCTCATTGGATGGTCTCCCTGCACCAGTGTGAGTAGCATTCACAGTGGGTGTCGATACCATTGGCTTAGGTGTGTAATTCTGACTGGCTACTGCTGCTTGTGGTCCTTTGAATGGACCAGCCAGGTTCAGTGCACTTGCTGGCCGGGCAGGAGCATAAGAAGGCTGGGCTATTTTGATGGAGGAGACAACAGTGCCCTGTGATGGGTTCGATGTGGAGAAAGCAGGACGTTGGGTTGGAGCCACTCCTGAAGACCAGACTGGAGAAACTGGAGTCACTGGTTGGGAGGATGAGGACTTGACTGCAGGTTTCGGAGCAACAGGAGGTGGGGTCTTTTGTTTTGAAGAGGAGCTTTGCATGAAATTACAAGCCTCTGCTCCTAAGCTGAGGTAGTCTTCCTCGGGTCCCGAATCACCTCCAGCCCCAGTGCCCCGTTTGCCTTCTGAATTTTGAAGAAGTGACAAGAGTTCAGGATTTGGGCTTACTTTGGGCTCTTTAAAAGTAAACATGGGTTTTGTTGTGCTTCTCCTCTTGGCCTCCTGCAATATTCCTGTTCTTTTTGCTGGTACTGCAATCCTCTCATCCCGGGAAGCTATTCGTTCAGATGAATCATAAAAAGCTGGTTGAGACCATGGGGCAGGCTGGGGCCATGGAGGGGGCTGTGCTGGGCTAGCGATTGGACTTGATATCCCTCTGGAGAAACTGTCAGGTGGAGGAGTGACCGCAGAATAAGGTGGAGGAGCAGGGAAGTCAGAGATGGGACTGGTCATGTTGCATGTTGGAGAGAAGGGGGCTGCTGGCTGGTTCACAGCTCCTGGGAAGGGTTTGGCTGTTCTATTCATAGAAATCATCCTTTGGGCCTCTGATGTGTCAGACACTGCACTGAAGCCATTCTGTTGGGGCACATGACCAGGACCTTGGCCCATCTGGATGTAACTCTTGCTCACAGAACTCTGCATTCTCATAGATTCTTCTTCCTTTCTTTGGTAAGAGGTCATGGTTCTCAGGCCATCCAGCTGGGCAGCATCTGGTTCTCTGCCTGGCACCCCACTCACCCTCTCTTCTTCCTTTTGGGCTGCGATCTGATCCATTCTCTCCCTTCTCTTGGCAAACATGAGGGCTCCCTTGCCGGTGGTGTCAGGCAACATCTCCATCTTGTCCCCTCTGTTCAGTTTCTTTTCAATGTCCACCAGTCCAGAATCCCAGTCAAAGTTCACAACTTGTGTGTTATTGTCAATGTCAGACAATAACTCTTCATCCACCTCTGATTCGCTTGTGCCAAGAAATGCAACTTCACAGGTATCCTCTTTGTCGCCTTCTTCCTCCTCGTCTTCCTCCCTCTCAAGCTCTCCCGTACCGTAGCTGACTAGGGTATACTTCCTAGCCCTCCGTCGTCTCTTCTTAAACATCAACACCCCCTTGGAGTTGGGGTTGGGGGCATCTGTTAGAAGGAGGGCAATGCTTTTACATTTAGATTTTGCTTCTTTCACCTGCTTTTCTGACAGGCTTTCACTCCTCCTGAGTCCTAGGGAAAGTACAAAAAGTTTATTGAGTTGATAAATTCAAGGAAACTCTATAGCAAACCAGAAATTGACTCCCCCTGTGGGAAAATGAATATGTGAAAAATTCATACAATTGGGTACTAAATTTTAAAGAAATACAACTCATTTATTTTTTTCTGTCTTTCTTCTTCCTTCCTTCCTTCCTTGGGTATTGAACCTATGGCCTCACCCATGCTAAGCACACATTCTACCACTTATTTCCCCAGCCCCTTATTTCTTTTAAAATTCATACTCATACTAACAAACATATATCTATATATAACAATATACAATGCTCTGTTCCATTTATTCATGCAAATATATTTTATATATATTGTTTAGAGCATGTGTTTCATACACTTATTTTTCTATAGAGTCCTACCCTTTAACATTAAAAATAGGCTAAAGAATGCCAGTTAATAGGATACAATTTGAATTTAAAAAAATATAATTTAATAACATAATATTTGCTGAAGAACAAGATAAGATATACTTTATATTTTCATAATAAAAAATAAAATGTCAGTATAAAACTGTTTCTAAGCATTATAAAAAAGAGGTAGTATGCCTCAAGAAAAATTATCTGAATAAATTTGTTTGACAGTATATTGCTATTTTTGGAATGTAATGCTCCTTTAATAGCAGTAGGAGTAAGTGTAAATCTTGGGGAAATTTAAAATAGATATCATTTGTGATCCTCTTAACTGGTGCAAAAACATATGCAGTAATTAGATCATTTGAAACAAGAGCTTTGCAGTTGTAAAATAAAAATTGTATTTACATTTTTAAATAAATACAATTTTTATTTTACAATTATCAAAAATAAATTGGTGGTAAATCAATTTATAGCACTGTCTACTTATAATCATATTTTAAAGAATATAATTCACAAATAATTTTTAATTCCTCAAGATAGTTAAATGGAAACTTCAGGAAAATTTTTAGGGTCTTATGATGCATTTTTCTTATTTAGCATTTTTATTAACAAACAGACTTAATGGTTAATTTTTAAAGAATAAAATAAAATCAGAGTAAAAATTTATTAAAAAGTTACAATATTCACTGATGATCAAATTTGTACAGAGAAAATAGTTACAAATGTGGCCATTACTTTTTCACTAGTGTTATAGAACTTATTATTAAATTGACAGTCACAGTTGCACAGTTGTTGCTAACTTCACTGCCAATGCATAAAGTATGTGAACACTTTCTTGAAACTTTTGGTACATATGCTATAAATGTGAAGATGGCATACAGATGTTTAAAGTATAAGGAATTAATGGCACTTGCCAATAAAACTACAAATGGTTATGCTAAAAATATGCTTTGAAAGAAACAACAATGGGCCAGAAGGCTTAATGTACTACTTTGAATAACTAAGTTCATTGCTGTTATGCACTATTCATACAGTCAAGTACCTTTACATCCTCAAATGAAATTCCAAAATTTGTAATAGAAAAAAAGTAGACACACATGAAAGAAAACAACAAAAGTGATAACACCTAATTGCAATTCTCATCCTCATTCCTTGTCTGTCATCACTGCCCTAGGATGAAACAAAATGCCATAAAAAGCATTGAATTCCAGTACATTTTATGCATGGGTACATTTAAATGCCTGCACATGGCCCTGGAGACTGACTTCTATGTCTAGAAGGTAGATGAAACACTTTGCAGTCTAGTGAAGACTTACACAACAAAAAGGATCATGTAACTGCTCAGTGTCACACATGTCCTTGTCTGTCAAACACTTCTGCAAGCATCATCAAGCTGCAAAGTGATTTTTTTTCAAAATGAAGATCTGCTTTTAATATCAGTGGTGAAGCCTGGATTTTAAAGACAGCTTGCAGCAGCAGGCTGAACCGTTTTTTAAACTCGGAGTCCACATGACTTCCAATACTTTCTTATGCTATTTTAACATGAAATGTAACAGTCCGAAATCAATCAGAAAAGCCCATTGACCATATTATTCTCTTAACTGTTCCTGTACTATTAGGGATAAAAAGAAGTTCATGAAGAACATTTAAATCTACTAGGAAGTTCAAATTTACTGCTCAATTCACAAACTGGTATTCTTCACAATTTCATATTTGTTATTTTTGCATACATTAATTTTTTAAAGGTAATGAAAAGTTTAAGAAAAATCCTTTAAAAAAAAACCCAAAAACACCCAAATACAAAATCGATGCAGGCAAAGCAGCAGTAAAATGCCCCTCAGCTCCCCGTTTCTCTGACAGCCGGCCATAGACCCAGGACAGGACTTACGTGCGTGCCGCGCTCTGTGCTTGTGTGGTCTGCTGTGATCTTTTTCCCAGCGCGGATCTTCTCCCTGCTCTGTGCCTTCTGATGAGACGGCAAAGGAGACCAGAGAAGGAGGTGCTTCTGACTGCCCTCCTTCCACTGGAGAAGCCACACACCCCTTTCCTGCCTGCAGCCCGCACCCTTCCGTCTTCTGTCTGTCAGAGCAATCGAGGATCACTTCCACCCGAGGCAGCCCAGCGTCTCCTGCTCCCCTCCCCTGGACCACTCTCAATTCTCTGCCACTGGAGATCTGGATTATCTTGCTGGACCTCAGAGAAGGGTCCGCTTTCTCATCAGCAGGGACGGAATTTATGTGGACAGTCTTCTCGTGTTTTAAGCTGGAATTTGGGTCGGAAGATTTAGAGTTTTCAGCTCCCTGGAGAGCCACTACGAGGCCACTAGTGGCCTTTTGTCTTTCTTGAGAGAGGGACAGTTGTAGCTCAACCACAGGGCCTGGTAGCCCTGCTTCTGCCTTCTCCCTTAAGACGACTGCTTCTCCCAGGTGGCTTTCTTGGGAATCACAAGTTTGGGGGGCCCTTTGGTAGCTCCGGACGGTTTCTTCTTTTATGATCACTGCACAATCAGAATCACTTATTTGGTCCTCAGCTGGGGGAACCCCACTGACTGGAACAATGTGGAACTCTCTGTACTGGGTCTTTGTGGCTGGACGGATTTGTAGGGTGGTACTTTCCACGAATCCCTCATGTGTTAGATGCTCATGGTTTTTGCTCTCAGCTTCAGAGACCAAAGCCTCACTTATTTCACTAGATGGTCTGCAGACAGAAAAATAATTCCAGACAGTTAAGTCAGAGTGTGTTCCACCTGCCAAAGAATTTTCTGACATTTATGATGTCTAATACATGATACAATCAAATTGTTTCTTCCTAAATGTCAGCTACTGCATATTTGAAAACAGAACCTTAAATATGCTTATTTAAAGAGCTTTCAAATAACGGTTTCTTTAAAGCACAACAAAAATGTTTACAAAAGTTTGAAACTTAAAGTGATTCTAATTCAGATTTTATTTACAAAAAGCACATGTTGTAGTTGCATGAATATCCTTTCTCTGAAATTATTTGGGCATTTCCAAATAATCATGCTTGCTATAATGTGACAAAACATTTCAATGTCTTATGGAATAAGTTTTGGTCTAACCATTATAGTCACATAAACATATCCAGCAACTTCAGATCACTCTTAAATTATGGACAACTCAAGTAATCTTCTCAGAGGCTGTGTTTTTGTTTGTTTGTTTGTTTGTTTGAAAGGAATGAAATAGAAGCTGTTTTTTAAAAACTCTGTGAGCATGTGTTTGGTAATAAGTGGACCCCAGCCCAGAACTCTTGTGTAAAGAGAAATCCTTTCCATGCTGCAATGAATCATTAAGTCATGGAGTATTTATAATCTGAGATGTCTTCCCTTCTTCTACTTGAACTTGGCTCTTACAGCATTTTTCTATTAGGACCCTGAAATCAAACTATTCCTTTATCTCTCATCTAAGGAGCTCAGAGCTGTTCTTATATTTATATCTTATATCCACAATCCTTATATTTTACACTTACCCATCTTCAGTTGGTTTTGCACAATTGGGTTGATGAGAAGCAATGTCAGTTTAAGACTTAAGCAACTTCTTTCTAAAACTCTAACCTCCAAATGCTTTCGGAAGAGAAGTACCACTCACAGAACAGCTGAGGGAGATGCCTTCATTTCTTACGCTTCTTAGTTTTTTGTTTTTTTTTTTTAGGCAGCAGCAGCAGCTATCTCTGCCCCTTTCCTGCTTCCTCAAAATGCACACTGACTAATGCAGGACTCACCCACTGAGGCGGGGAGTTCCCACTTCTATTCTACTCAAAGGAATTTACCTTAGAATCTACATGAAAGTAGAATTTCAGGCCAATATTCAAAATATTTACTCCTAACTTTGATTTTAACTGCATTTTTGCAAAACAAAACAAAAACTGACAATTAAACAAAATGCAGCTTTCTCTATACAAGTAATCTGAAGCTTCCTGTAATATAGTACTTAAAACATTATAAGTTTTTAAAAAATATGACAGTAAAATTTACTATTCTTATATAGGAAGTAATGAATACATTCTGCAAACTGTATTTGAGGGAACTAAAAGGTCAGAGAATCTTAATCTAGGAAAATCTTAGGACAGAGTTAGATTAAATCACTTTAAATTATGTTAGCACTCAATTATCAAGCTAAGAGAGTAGTTTCAATTCATTCCTGCTTTATAGATTAGAATACAGGCAAATGGGCCAGATAAATAACAGTTCTTGGTAGCTGAAGTAAAGTGTACATATATATACATATGTGCATATTTATGGATAACAATCATAAAAGCGTGAGAGAAAGATTAAAGCTTTGCTCCTCATTTCTCTTCAGTCTATATAGGCACACACAATTTATGCAACATAGCTATATAATCCTTTATTTTTTAATTTCAATAAAGTTTAAGGTTATAGAGACTTAGTGTTAAAGGAGTTTTTAAAAATAGTCTTACCCAGCCATCTCTGGGCAACAATCCAGAAAAAGTCCAACACTTGTCCTCTAGTGATAGATGACAGTGATATGAGTGAGAAAAATATTTAATTGCAGGAAGCAATGTTCAGATATCCAGAGTGGTGGTGATGATGATGGTGATTATTGCCTTCTGGCTGATTTTAATTTGGGATTTCATTTTGAATCCCTTCAATTATTTATTTATTAAAAACTCAAAGTACTTGAAATAAAAATAAAATAGTCATGATTCTGCTTATTAAAAGTAACTGAGAGCTAGACCATTTCTTTCTGAAAGTAAACAGGTACCTGAGATGCAGCTTTAAACCACCAAGGATTTTTCCCAGAGATAGCCATCATAATCAAAACAAGAACTAGTAGAAGATGTCCTAGACAACAAGTATGTTCCAGAGAAATTGGCCTCATTATGTCAGTAAAGACATAAAAAAGGAGAATAAATTAGAAAAGATTGTTTTCCCCATTTTGTGTATGACTAAACCTTTACAAAGACGGAAGTCTTCAAATACCTCACAGATTTATACAGGATAATGGCAACAGTGGAGCCACATTTGGCAATATTCCTGTTAGTTTCCTTTAAAAAGTAAATGACAGCTTTATAAATAAGTGGGATCTTGAGAGTTTGATGATTAAATATTTAGAAGAGAGACTCTAAGAGTATGTTAGATTTTCTTTTTATATGTATTTTTTTTATTTTTAAAAATTCATTTATTCACATGTGCATACATTGTTTGGGTCATTTGTCCCCTCTTCCCCCTCCCCCACTCCCTCCCCTAGATTTTCTTTATTGTCACAAGATTTGGATAATGGTGAATTCATTTTTGTGTAGAAATGAAACCATATGGAGTGATTAGCAGAAGGGTGATGCTCTTTGTAGTATTTCTGCAGAGCTAAGGGCAAATTTCACAGGGCCTTGAGATTCTGTTTCTGACATCTCCAGAAATCCAGAGTTTTTCCTTCTGGATTCATTATAATTCAATGGTCAGGGTCTCAGTTACAAAATCAGTATGAACTGCACTATGACTTGTACACTGTAAAACTGTAAATGCTATATTTTTTATGATTGCCTTCAGTGTTGTTTCTTTTGTTTTTATGTTTAAAAGATTTTTTCTAGGCATCTGGAATAAAGATTTTGTTGATACTCAAATATTGGTTTTACTAGAGGTCCTGGCAAGCATAAATCTGGCTGTTTTTAAGCTTTTTGTTCGCTTGGCTTTGTTTTTTTATTTTTCCACTTCTAGGTATCTTCTTTCCATGAAAAATTATTGTATAGGTCAATGATTTAACACTTAAATAATTTTAATTTATCTGGAAATCTGGGAATTACAACTGAGTGATCCCAACTTATCAGGAAATCTTGATCTTTGAAGAAAGTATTAAATTATGCCCAATGTACCAAACTTTCTTAGAAGTGGCCTAAAATGCCTGTGATTTTCAACAAGGTGCTTGAAACAAAGATTTTCAAGTTAATTCTCCATTAATTAGAAAACTCAGTTGAATAGGAGTGTCTGTTTTTCAATAGACACTGTTGTATTTCTTTTTAACTATCTTGATCTTCTACAAAGCACCCTCAACACCCTTATAAATCATATTATATATGTAGTAGGAGCTATTATCATTCCTACCTAGCTTCAAGAAAAAAGTCTATACTCTGACAAATGTGTTTTACCTCTTGATGAGCATCTGGAGGGAGTCTGTTATGCTTTCCATGAGCTTGATGACTTCAGGGTAGGTGAGGTCTGCACAAGGGTTTCCGTTAATGGATACCACTTCATCTCCCTCACACAGCCCAGACCTGGATGCTTTGCTCTGGCTTCGAATCTGAATAGAGTTAAAAAAAAAAAAAAAGGAAGCATAGTTAGAATGACACACTTGTAAACACCATGTCTCCACTTCTGAGAGATAGAGTTGTAAATAGGTCTACAAACAGTAAAACCAGCTCTGATTTTTAATTCACCTGTTAACTTATAAGTTCATCTTAATTCTTTCTGTTCCTGAATGTGTATGTGTGTGTGTATGCACACACTACTTATTATTATTTTTTAAACATCATTATTTAATTCATAACACAGGAATAGACAGGAAAAGGGGAAAACAAATCAATGGGAAGTAACAAAAATAAAAGAATAGGGAAGGATGGGGAAAGACATTAGATGTTTAAGTTGATCACACATTAAAAATAATTATTCCACATTGTGAACTTTAACCCAGTCAGAAAGGAACTGTTTTCATTGAAATAAAATGTGACGCCCCTCCCATTGCCAGGGAAGATGGAACACTGTGATCGTAAGAAGAAGATGCACAACAGGGCACCCAGTTTGAGGAGGCAGCTGTACAAATAAATAAATGAAATGATGAAAAACATCAGATATCAGGAGGAAATCATGCATTCAGGATATTAGGGAGTATGCCCAAGATAGAAATCCTTGATTGAAATCGACTTTTCAAAACATGGTTCTAACCAAACTTCAGCAAAAAAAAAAAGACAGTATTTCACAAATAATAAAAACAGCCCTTCTCTCAAGATTGCATCATATTCTAACACAGAATGACGTGGTAGAACAACTGCATTAAAACCTAGGGAAGTTCGGCAGAGTAGAACTGCTCTGGCAGAGGGTTTCTGCCAGCTCCTTTAAGAGGAGGACCTGGGGGCTGATGTCCTGCATAATGATTGTGGTAAAATGTGCTGATTATTCTCCATCTGCCTTTCCAGGCCATTCCTCAACCTCCCCTGTGGTTTAAAAAGGAATGGACTCTAGAGACCACATTGGCTAGGCTTCCTTGCACTCTGGCTCTTGGTGGGATTTGTCAACAGGAAGCACCCGAAAAAGTTCAAAGAGCAAGAGGAATGAGAAGTCAGGGTACATGGTCTCCCTGCTGGATCTGCTGGTCACGATTTGGCAATGGCTCTGGTCTTTGGTGTAGAGAACCATAACTCGTGGTGGTCTGCTCCTCCCCCGTTGCCTTCACTCTGGTTACATTTCAATAACACATACTATCTTATGGCATCTCTAGGCCTAAGGGTTAATAAGAACTTCCTGCTCTTAATCTCTGAGTTCCTAGGTACTTTATTATCATTTCTTGGTTCCCTTGAGTCTGCTTTTTAGTCCCTGCATTACATTATCTTGAAGTAATTCTCTGAGTATGCCATGTATTTCCTGCTGGTACCCTGAGTGATACTAATGTGCTTAGATTTCATTTCATAAGTTTAATTAATCTCAGTAAGCTAAGTGTCATGATCATACAACCTTGAATATAAGAACACTTTAAGCATACTGTCTGAGACATTTTCTGCTATAAAGGTCTCTCTCTCTTATTAAAATAAGATTCAAACCTTGGTTAGCAGCACTTCTGGAAGAATGTTTTCCTAGTCAGGCTCATGTCTGATTAGGCATGAAATATATTTCAATTTATCTCTGTTAGATGCTCACTAATTTCTGTTAAGGTCTTACTGACAATTAATATTAACTGATAAAGGTTTGAATTTAGTATCTCCAAATACGTTTACATTTTAAATGATACTCTTGAAAGCAAAGAGCCAAAGCAATGGTGCAATTGAAATTTGCGGTGATCTAGTTAATTTATTTCTTGGAGAGCCCATCCTTCTACTGTAATAAATTATAATCTATAGAAAGCTTTCCCCTTTTCTGATGAATCAAACTCATTACTTTTGTGGGGAAGAATATATTAATATATTTCCAAGGCTATAAAAAGACACAAAAGCAATAAGAAAGAAAAAAAATAAGAAAGAAAATATTTACCTGATTTTGAAAATATCAATTAAACTGAGTATGCCATTTATTTTGTTTGTCTTACATGAAATATTAAAATGAAGGATCACAAAGAGTTGTTAGTAAGTCAAGAATAAAATGATATCGAACGATGACCAATTAAGATTCTAGCTATTTGTTCACTTTCATTGAAATATATTTATAAAATAAAATTAGATGAATAATAAAACATCTTTTTGAGGCATAAGATAGATCATTCGATGGAGTCAGATGTTCTAGTACCCAAACTAAAAGTTTATCCTTTGGAGTACCAAAGAGGTTTTATGTTCATGAAAACTTACACCCTAAAAATAATGTGAGTAAAGTTGGCATGTCATGCATACAACTCATAGAAGTACTCAAGAAAGGACTAGAGAATACAAATGTGTTCACTTCCTATACACAGCACACACACAAGAAACTTGTTAGGTATCAGGTGCCAGTGGCTCACGTCTGTAATCCTAGCTACTCAGGAGGCAGAGATCAGGAGGATCATGGTTTTAAGCCAGCCCAGGCAAATAGTTCACAAGACCCTATCTTAAAAACTCTTCACAAAAATAAGGCTAGTGGAGTGGCTCAAGGTGAAGGCCCTGAGTTCAAGCCCAAGTACTGCAAAAAAAAAAAAAAAAGAGAAAGAAACTTGTCAAATGAAAAGTAAAGCTATTAAAAATGGTACTTAGTCTACATCTTATAGATGTTTTAACATATCTCCATTTATTTTCTGAACTTTTTATTTTTTTGGTGGAATGGTGAGTGTTCAATGATGCCGAACATTAAAACCAGGGCCTCACACATGCTAAGCAAAAGTTCTACCACTGCGCTACACCCTTAGCCCTCTATTTTCACCCAGACTTTGGGCATTATCTCATTGTAAAGTGTAGTTCATAAGGTAACGTTTTACCTCTCTTTTCCTCAGTAATTACACATTTCATAACAGAAGGATGGATGAAAACAAGCTTGTTTGTTATATTTCCCAACACAAATAATAAAATTTGGGCTTAGCATTTACTAAGCTAAATTTTTTTTAATTTATAATCACTATAAAAACACTATATGGAGTATAAATGTGCTTCTACTTACACATGTGCACAGGTGAAGTACCATCACCTTCATTTTGTAGATAAGGAAATTAAGAAGCAGACAAGGTAGGTACTTTGCCTAAAGCCACACAGCTGAGACCAGAATTTGAACTCAAGGACTCCTACTCCAAGCTTATGTTTTTAACTGCTACACAAATCCCTCCCCGTCAAGGGTCTCAATGCTTGCCTTAAATCCTGGAGTGAGGACAGGAAAAGGAGGGAAGAGTATATGTAACACAATTGGCATAGATGGTGAGAGAAGTCAGGGAGGAACGAAACCAACTGGTGATGAAAATGTGCCTGGTGGTTAGGGAAGACAGGTTTGGTTTCTTTTTTTCTTCTTTATTGTTTTATAGGTGCATGTAAAGTATTCTTTTAACATTTAAAATGGAAAATATTATGATTCAAAGTGTTCCAAATTCAAAATTGAGTATAATTATCTTTTGCAAACTATAATTTAACACAACAAACCCGTGTAAGCTCGTAGTCTAATTCCTTTGAGAACACTCCTTTAGAGACTTCATTCCATAATAGTGCATCGGACCATGAGGGAATTGCTGTCCTTAAAATATTTTATTATCTTTCAGTGTTTCTCAATTTAATCAAACCGTATAATTAAGAAATACAGATTATGTAAATATTTACCAAATACTGTTTCAAATTGATTACCACTCTTTGATCTGTGCCAGAAAATATTTACTTTACTGCAAACAAATAAAATGAAGAGTTAAGACTTTGCTAGGAAATTTAACATTACTTGTATTTATAGAATAAATTGAGAAGAGTTCCAGCTATGCTATTTAGTTTCATGAATAATTCCTTGGCAAAATGGAAAAAAATCAAAACCCCCTTTTCTATTATTATCTCTTCATTTCCAAGTCTCCCAGAGCTGACTAGAAAGCAGGTAGAACTGAATTCTCATAAAGCCTCATGCTTAAACTATTTTTGTGTTGTGTATATGGCATATGAGCCATGTCAGCCTGCTGCCTATAAAGCTAAATTTTATCTCAGAAATGCATTTTCATGTATAACTCATTAATAAGTCCTCTTGGAGTAAATGCTAGGACAGAGATAATCTTTTTCTTAAATTCTAGTACTCTACTGAAATACATGAAAAAGAAAGAAAAAATAGCATAAATCTGTTCTACCCCATATAAGAATAGTCTCAATACATACAAGAAAGTCTTAGGGATCTGGTGATAACTAAGAAGATGAGGGAGATGACCTCAGACAATAATTAAAGTTTCAGAGATTAAATCTTTTGAAGGAAACCATGTAGTCTATGATCTAGTGGCTCTTTCTGAAGCTCCAGTCATTTCTCAATTTTCTAATTCAGGCACTTGGCAAAACTTCTTTCTGCCTATGTGACTAGGTTTATTAAGCATTCTCTTACCCCAGCTGGCTCTTAAACCAAAGCCCTAAATAGGTGTGTACTCTTCAATTGACACCAGAGAAATGGGTGGAATGGTGATTGAGAGACACAGCAAGAGCAATGATAATGAAGCTGAAGTTAGAAGTAAGAAACTATCCAGAGCCTGAACTCCAACCTCAGCCCATGGTGGTATACCTTTCTAAAACCAAAGCCAAGTTCACCAGTTGCCAAAAACTTGTGTTTACAGTTGTGCAGTGTTTCTAAAAATCAATAGCAAATATTGACACATCATTTTCTACATGAAAAGGAAAAACACAACAAAGATGAAAATACAATGAAATAAAAGAAGATAATAATAAGCCAGGTAATATGTTTTTTTTGTAAGAAGCAAAAAGCATCATGGACAGCACAGAAATTCAAACAATAGAACAGAAAAAAAAACTTGAGAAAATATCCAGAATGTGGTATGAATAAATAAGAAATAAGACTAATAATTGAGTAAACTGACTGTCAGTGGGAGAGATTGGCAACAGTGTGGATTGGATTCCTTCACTTCTGTCCCAAACTTCTAGTATACAGGGTATATTGCAGAGGCTGGAAGGATAAAAGAACATTTCTCAGACTCTTTCAGCTAGGGTTTGGAGTCTACAACAGTGCCAACACAGCAGGTGCAC